GCTTCTTTGCTTTTCTGGAGTTAATGTGATTTTTTTTCTTTCTTTTTATTTTTTTGGTTTCGGGAGATGGAAAATCCTAGGTTGCAGCTCCCCAGGATGCCAACGTGCAGGACATGACTGTGCAGAGATAACATCATCTGTCGCAGACTGGGAAGGGAGTGTTTCATAAGCAGTCTCAAGCCCCATGCTTTAGAGTTTCAGCCAGTATCTGTTTATTAAGGGTTAGAGTCAGCTCTAGAAGCTGCTCAGCAGATGATTATTTGTTATTTGATTATTATTTATTACTCCTTACACCTCGCTTTGAAGCAGTCAGACCTGGTTGCTGTCAGACCCAAGGCAGTGAGCTGGTGGGACCTCAGATCTTATCCGCAGCAGTGGTTCCTGTGTTTTTATCTTCAGGGAAGTTCGTATCACTTTAAAGTAAAACCTTTGCCTGAGAGATGGAGAGCTCACAGCAGTTTGTGGCAAAACTCGGTTTTCAGTTTTGGGTGGTATTGCCTGGCGTTTTGTGGAAAAGCTGACGGTAGATCCTTTTTATACAGAGTTTCAGCTTCGCTTTCTTCCTTCTCTTCAGCATCCCTTTTAAATGAGATGAGCTGTCATTTTCAGTAGTACAGGCTATTTAAAATATTTTCAGATTTTTTTTTGGACCTTTGTCATTAGTTTTTATCGTGTTAGAGAAGCGTTGCACAGTGCACTGGGCCACATAATGCTCTCCCTGTGTGTTCACAGCTCCTCGCTCTTTCCACTGAATTAATACGACAGTGCAACCTGCAATTGTTAGTGCCAGCCAGGATCATTTGCGGGAGAGACATTTCAAGCAGGGCTGATGACAGAATGTAATATATATTTCAAGAGACAGAAAAAATGACTCTGAATGATATGAGAAGTCATCGCTGACCCTGCAAACTGGTAGAAGCTGCAAGAGGACAGGCTTTGTATCTCAAGATATTTTTTTTTTCAAATCAAAGCTCAGCCATGCCACATTTCCAAATCTCTTTTTGTTACAAATTTATTTCCAGCATCACTATTAGCTAACTGGGCAAAAGGAAATTATTTTCTTGTTACTTGCGTGAACTTTTTTGCTCCATGTGAAGAAATGTGCGTATTTCCTTCCGAGTAACGTGGTATTCCTGTTTGACTTTGTTTCTGCTTTCCAAAGTCGCAGTGCAGTCGCCCTGTAGGTATCCCTGGCGTTTTCAGGTTAGCAGACAGGAGCTGTCTGCTCGGTGGTGTTTATCTAATCAAATGACGGAGCGCTACATGACCGCTGAAGCGAAGTGAGCCCACCAGTTAGCCAAAACGTAAGGAGAAAGCCTGCGATGCCTTCTGTTCGCCCGCTGTGGAATTCGAGGGAGGTGTCAGCGCTAACCACGCGCGACTCCTGCGAGCGCTAGGAAAATTTACATGCCTGCGAGGAAGCGCAGCCTCTGTTTTATATGGCATCCGACGAGTCTGAATCCCAGCCGTGAAATGCTCCGTCATGGCAGGGTGTGGGGTGGGGAGCTCCGTCTGCCAGTGCCCCCGGTGCCGCTCCTGGCCTGGGTGGATGGGGATTTCTCCTTAGCTTGAAGGCTGAGGAGCTCCAGGGGCAGAGCGATGGGGGCAACCAGCAGAGACGTAGAACCGAATCTGGGTGAGACGGCGGCTAACAGTAATTTCTAACTTTCCATTTCAAATGTGGTCCTGCGTGTGATTTATGGGTATGAGCCGTGCCTCGTGTTTTCTCACTGCTCACGGGTTGCTGAGGACAGAGTTGGCCTTCAGGAAGCGTTCAACCATACGCTCCCTGTAAGGACGTTGAACGTTTCCGAAGAGGTGTAACAAAGCAGAAACTCCCTGTTGAGCTATGAGAAGGGCAGACAGCACAAGGTGTTTCTTTGTTTGAGGTGGCACTTTGGTCCATGTTCAGCTAACACACGACTCTTCCCCGCGGCGGGCTGGAGAAGCTGCTGCAGAGCATCGCGCTGAGCGTGGCAGCCTGCAAAGCTGGGACGGAGACGCGCGTTGTGGAAGCGTCGCTTCACGAGTTGTGGTTGTCTTCTTGTTTTCGCAGGTGGTGGCCTTGGGAGAAGTGCCCGATGGGACGGTCGTCACCGTCATGGCTGGAAACGACGAGAACTACTCTGCAGAGCTGCGGAACGCTTCTGCCGTGATGAAGAACCAGGTGGCCAGATTTAACGACTTGCGATTTGTGGGCAGAAGCGGAAGAGGTAGGGTGCTGCGTTTTGCGTGTCCATGGTGAAGTGAGAGCAATGCCTGGACGTCAGACTTACTGTGCTATGAAATATCGATTAATGGGTAGATACGTTGTTGGCCTGCCGTTTGGAGGGATGAACGCGTGTTGTGTCTGCAAAAACTTCAGTGTTTGTGCAACCCTGAACTTGTTAAGAGTTTCTCTTAACTCCTTCAGAGTTTCTCAGAGGTTTTCCTGACTCCTCAAGTCTCCGTATGTCTCCGTGAGACGCAGGTTTTGAAAAATGATGTGCGGAGTACCCGCTTCTCGTGTTAATCACGCAGCAGAGGTAGAAGGCAACGCGGGTGCTTGCGGTCTGGGTTGTGCAGAGCCAGAGAGCTCCGGCCGTGGCAAGGAGAGGCGGAGGATTCCCTGTACGGCGGCTGCTGAAGCTGTTGCAGAAGACCTGTGGCTAAGGGGGTTTTGCATCTCGCACGCGCTGTGGGTGATGTTTTTTGAGGTCTTACATCTTTAAAGGCTGGCAGCTCTTGGTGGGAAGCTGTCTGGTGACTTCCCTGCCCTTTGCAATCAAACTGCGTATGACCTTCACAAATCGGCCGTGTTTTTCTTTTCAGTAAACCGGTTGCCTTTTTATGAATCGCTGGTAAGCCTGGGCTTGAACTAAATTTGTCCTTTGCTTTAAATGACAGGGTAACTTTCAGCTTTTTTTTTTGAAGATGTAGTGCTGTCATTGTCTTCCAGCTGTTTAGGAGCTTCGTGTAATCTGGAAACTGCACTCAGAGAAAGCCTTTGTAATCACTGCAAGCGTGCAAAAATTCCTCTTTAGGAGTCTTGTAGCTGCTTTCAAATTTCAGGTAATGACTGAAAGGATGGCTCGAAGGGAGCTGGCACCTCAGCTTTTGCTGCAGGAATCTTCAGAGGGGGTGGCTGTATCAGTCGTTTATGCCGCCTACATATCTTTTCCTTTATGAATTTGAAGTAATTACTCATTTTTTTAACCTGGCCCTGCATGGGGCAAAACAAAGCAACAGAAGCCAAACAATTGTGCTGGGAAATTAGCAATAGAGCTGATGTTACAGTAATATTCTTTAGAAAGCAGTTGTAACTCATCTTCAAGAAGGAAAGAGGATTTGTCCAAAAAAAAAATTAAATGTGTGACAGAGGCCTCGATAGTCCAAATGAGTCGGCGTGCTTTTACAAACACCTTGTGAAAGCGAGTCCATAAGCATGGCCTACGCTGGCTATTTTTTGTTACGGTCACCTGGCCGACAGTTCTCTATCATTTTAAAACTTCAAAGGTATCGAATCTAGAGAATGACTTGAAAGACGGAGTAACTATTGCAACAGTAGTGCGATATGGATACGGAGTTCGTTGCCCTTTTGGAGAAGGTGTTACTTATCTCTTCCATTTGTCTTGCTTGCTTAAAAAAAAACAGTCTTCTTTGTTATTCTGCTGATGGATTAGGTTTGAAAGTTCTCTGGCTCCATCGCTACTTCTGCCTTACAGTAAAAGTTCAGTAGTGTATCAGCCTTTCAGCAGTGCTGAAAAAGAACTGAAATGTGATGTACTACCTGTGATCTGTGAATTTCATTTGAAACCTATGATATATACTTTTTATTAAAGCATAGGAAATGAAACAGAGGGCCTAAAGCCTCAGTAGATACAGCTACAGACACATACAAACACAAACCCCCTGAAATTTGGGTCCAGTGGTTTAATTTATAATTGTATCTAGCATACTTGGAATAGACTTTTGCTCTGATCAATCTCGGCAGAATCTATGGAAAAGCGATAGTGTACTTTTCAAACCCTCGACGTATTTATTTAAGAGACTTCAAAGAAAAACAAAGGGTGTGCACTGTTTTACTATATTGGCTTTCTGAGTTTTGGAAAGAAAACAGACAGACTTCAGTGCTTGCAGACTTTTCACGCATGGAAGATGAAGAAAGCTTCTTTTGATGAAGTGTAATTATGTCCAAACAGAGCTGACCCCCTCCCCCTATATTTCTTATGATCTTAACGGAAGAAAGTAGGGCTTTTCCTTTGAAGCAGCCGGGACTCGGTGGAGGATCTGAAATGCTGCATTCTGCTGCCAGAGGCAGGATGGAGAAATTGGTCCAGACTTGTCTCCCAGACTTAGAACAGAGAGGGAGAGAGAGAGAGGGAGAGAAGGAGAAAGAGTTATCATTAATGATAGATTTTTAGAACTCAAAATAGCAGGACAAGAAAGCAGTAGTTGCAAACAGAAGTGAGAAAGCTCCTGACATAGACAGCTATCGGCAGATACAGCTCCTGAAGTGGGATAGGAAAAATAAAGTAATAAAGAAATCATTTTTCAGTGGCGAGAAACTAATCCACACCTGTTCCTGACTTCAGATTTACATCTTTCTAAACAGCTCGCTCTTTGATCTCTGTATCTCTAAATTTGATTGTGAAGTCTGAATCACGAGCTTAGCACTTCACCTCCTCTCCCACGTTTTTTCTTGCTTCCCATGGCTCAATGGAGAAACTTGATTTTTATACATATTAATGTTGCTTGCCTGGCAGCAGCTTCACGTTTTTGTTTGTGTAATTTCTCTTAAGCACCTTTTCTGGATTCATAAGAATAAGTAACTGGGGCGCTTTATGTGAATGCAGAAGTTGTTTGTGTGCGGTTTTCAGGCAGTAGCTCACTTTTACAAGCCCCATCCACCGTGCAGAAAAGAAAGAATTCCTGTCTTCAATAAGCAAAGGATCATAACCTTAATGTTGTTGTGTCCCGGCACTTTAATCTCATTAGCATCTAACTGAAAAAAACCACGCAACGCGCACGAGCTGCCTGGTCTGCTTTCGGGCTGCTTTCCGGGGCTTGCCGTGTGCTGCGGCGTGCGTCCGTCTCGTCCTGCTCTGCGTCAGCTCGGCTTACGTGTGGGAAAAACAAAGAATGCACAGTTTAGGCACACTGGAGCAATAGTGCCAGATGACTGCTGGGCTGGGGAATTTAATAAAAGAGAGCTACAATTAGTCTTTAGCCCCTAAAAGCAGATGGCTGACATGACTAAGGGCGATAAAGAAAGGTGATAAAAAGTGCATTAAAGGCTTTCATAGCTGAGGAGGGAGATCTGTGAAAGATCTGTGGAAGGCATAAGCATCGCTGAAACAGGGGGCCTTCAAAACTTATTTTGTTCTTAATCCTGTAATATGTAAATCATCTTTTGAAAGCTCTGGAACCTGAGCGTGCTGGCAGGGCCACGCAGCTCCCCGCGATGAAGTGATGCCTGGGTTACTGAGTGGGGCGGGGGGGGCTCCATCGACGTTACCTCCCTGATGCTTCAGGTTGGTGGAATCCCAGTTAGGGAGTAAAACCAGTTTCCCTTTCAAATTGGATGCTTACCTGTACAGCTTAGCCTGGCTGAGAGGTGACGATTTAGAAGAGCTCTCAGGTGAGGTCGAAATGTAGGTCTCGGTGTATTAAGGAGTGTGTTTTTTCTGGCCAGTGTATCCTGTCGAGATACATTTAGTGTAGAAAATCACGCAGACGTGGTTTTACGGGGCCTTACAGACAGTATGCTTTGTCAGGGTAGTTTTCAGTCGTGATAGACTTTTATACTGACTTGGCCTATAAATTGGAAGGCCAAAGTCTTCATTCAAAGGTATATGGAAAATCCCTTTAGTATCTTTGTTACCAATTATATTCTACTGATTTTACGTGGGTGACTGTGATCTGAATGTCATCATCGGACAATTTAATAGTCAGAACTTTCTGACATGCTAAGCTGGCGCCAAAGGAGGCCTTAAACCTGTCCCCGGCGAATTATATACATCCGAGCAATAGGCTGAATTCCTGCTTGGAGAAGCATGAAAGGCACGGACCCTTTCCAGCCCTGAAGAAGCAGGCATGGGGGCACTCTGTGCTTCAGGAGGGCTCTCGCCGTGTGTCCGAAGGCTGCCTGCACACGCTGTACGCTGGCGGGACCCACGCTTTGCCTCTGTGGGTGGCGGGTGGGCAGGGCTGGCCGGAGGTCAGACCGTCCTGCCGACCCCTGACTCCTCCTGGGACGATCTCTCTCGAAAGATTTGAGAAATGGTCCCGTTTCCCAGTGACACTGGGGAAAGCGACCTTCAGCCGTGCGTGGCCGCTGAAGCAGATTTCAGCCTCCCGAGGTTTCTGCACCCTCACCGGGGTGTTGACCTCCTCTCTAACCTGCGTCTCTCGCAGAGCGGGGCACAGCTGGAGCGGGGCTACACCTGGAAAATCATTCTACTCTGAATGACAGTTATATTTTCTTAAAAAAAAAAAAAATCCATGTCGCATTCTAGTTCGTGAAAAATACAGCCAAGACAGTCTGAAGTTGCACTCCCGATAATAAACGGTGCGTGTGTCGGGCAGGTTGGGGGATATACGACTTGGACCAGAACGAAACACCCGTTACTAGGTTTGACAGCCAAAGCTCTGTTCTGTATTATGCCTCATATATAAGCTGTTCTATATTAGGCTCGAAAAAACTGCCAGCGCGAAGGCCGAGGATTGCTGACTGTTTTATTGAGTCACTGTTGTACGCCCACCTTTTCCTGTCTTGAAACAGTTTTCAGTTTTGACTATCTGACGTGACTAACCGTTGCATATCTAACAGATTACAACTGTCAGTGAGCCTCCCGCACGGGGGCCAGCGCCTGGTGAGAATGTGCGCTCAGACGTAGGCAGCTCCCTTTATTTATTTCATTTTCACGTTTTCATTCAGCTAGAGGCTGCGGAGGAGCTTGTGCAATCTCTGCGTGAATTCAAACTTTGAAAAATAAAAAAAAAAATTAAAAAAAAAATGCAGGCTTGCAATAGCAGCGTATGTGCACACAGCGGTTTCTCACCCTCACGGGGAAATCTGGGGCTTTCTTGGGATTTTGTAGATGGAATATATGTAGGGGAAAAAAGTGTATTCCAGTAAGAATGATATCATCACATTACCCCTGGCATATGAAGGACAGGAGACACTGATTCCCTGCTAAAATGACTCCCGGGAGGAAAATATATTCTTTCCTCATCTTATTGTAGTCAAGTCAAAGAAATGAAATGATAAAACTGCGTGAAGTAAATAACATGTGGCCACATTCTGCTCTCTGTCACACAGCTGCAAAACTGGAGTAAATTTTTAAATTGTCTGATTTGCTTTGGATTTACACCACTTTCAATACAGCAAAGAATTTGGCTTGTCCTCAGCAGTGAATCACTTTTGTTCTGTCATTGTATGATGACCCATTATTAAATAAGAAACATTTAGATTGTCAACACATGGACATATTCTTGACACAGAGTAAAACTGAAGGGGAGGAAAACTCCTATGGTCAGTTATGTTTTTAATTTTCACGATTGTGGTAACGACAGGGAATAATTTTAAACGTCTCTGATTCTTTACTGAACATGCATGTGACTGTTTTCATGTTGTAATCACTCATTCCTTGTTGTTTTTCTCCCTTTGTAGGGAAGAGCTTTACTTTGACAATAACTGTCCTGACAAATCCCCCCCAAGTCGCTACATACCACAGAGCTATAAAGGTTACAGTGGATGGGCCAAGGGAGCCAAGAAGTGAGTATTATATTCTTGTTTTTGCACTTAACGTCTGCTTAATTTTGTTTAACAGAGATCCATAAATGAAATATATATCTTTGTCAAACACTGGTTCTTGCTCAGCAAAATGTGTAAGCGCATGCTTGATTTGGAGTCGATCGGACCACACACATGCTTGCATTAAACACACACTGAAGTGCCTGGCTGAATTTGGGCAATCACGAACCTGACTCATTCACATCAAGGTCTTGATACATTATCTGCCAGTGTAAATGAGAACTAAACCCACTATATTTATATATAATCTGATTTAGGCACAACAGATACAATCCTGCAACACGCTGAATTCCCTAAACTCCTGTAAGCTTCCAACTGAAGACGCTTAGAACAGAACAGGAGACCGATCTTGCAGGATCAGTCCTAGCACAGAGAGAAAAGATCTAATGTAGTGCCTTTTTGTTTGCCCTCAAATTCTTTTGCCATCAGATAATTAATGCACCTGGTTAATCTCATCATACCTGAAATTGGTTTTCAGCTATGGACTCATCATAGACCCCTGGGGGCCAAAGAAAGATAAAAAAACAGTATATCAACAGCCTGGTCTTTGTTTCTTATTTGTGCACAGAGAGTAGCTTTTATTTAAACATAGTCCAGCAGATTTTCACTGAGCATGTTTACCTTACAGCGATGCACTTCCTAACTTACTAAGAATCTCTTTGCAATGGTTGCTGGCTATATTTTTATGACACTTGTGTTTTGTCATGTTCTAGCAGTTTTATGGGTAGCACTTATTTTTAGGCGCAGTCAAGTCTGGTTAATCCACCGTGGTTTATACGGCTGTCTCTCTGTCTAGCACATTTAGCTGGTAACCAGTCTCACATCAGATGGGTATCGCTGAGGAGCCAGTTCTGGAGTTTTTTTCTTAATCTAACTAGAATGGCTCTTTCTAAATTGATCGGATTAACCAGGTATAGCTGTATTTAAATTACATTTAGAGATTAAGAATTATTTGATGAATAACCACATTAAAAAAATCCCTGTAATGGAGGCATCTCAAATAATTATTTTGCCTTTGATCTGCACATACAAATGAGACCTTTAAGGAGCTTTCACGGAGTTTTGTTTAAAATACCACAAAGACAGAAGAAGTAGAAAGACGTAGACAGAATTCACGCCGTTAAGTGTTTCTCGTGCTAATACACGCTGCGGTGTCACCTCCTCTTACACTGAGGCGGGAGCTGAAATGCCTTCTGTAAGCACAGTCCAGGCTGTAGAGTTTCACCTCGAATAAAGGATAAAAAAAAGCAAGTAGCTGTGGATAAATGTCTGTAGAGACTTGTGTTGCTGCCTGCTCACAGCTGAGGTGTCCGTCTGTGGCAGTGAGGGGATTTTTGTTCTGTCTTCTCTCCTGAGCTCAATCCGTTCCCATTTTTAATTTTCACCTGCAGCTGGTGCTCCCTGTAGCTTACTCGGAGACACTGAGCAAACTGCATTCATGGAGTAAAAACTAGGGAATAAGTTATGTATCACTTGGCCATTCCCCTTTGGAGGCTGTGTATGTATTGAGGCACCCGCAAAAGAGCGAATCCCCCAGCGGAGGACACAACTGCTGCGCGAGAGAGTGGTTTGCAAATGGTGCGGAGGTCAGCGTGGGCTACCCTGCGTAGCAGGGAAAGGGAGCTGCTTGCATTGGGACTGACCGTTTTGGTGGTCAGTGGATTAAAAGGGAGGCTATGTTCAGAGAACTTAATAAGATTTCCAAGTTCTGCTGGAGTTTTTTAATTTAAACCTGAAAGGCCTCTGTATGGGATACCTGTCTGCTATTCTCATTGAGTAGCTGAACCTAGGAGTGCTCAGTAACTTAGTTCTTGTAGCCTGGATGGAGCTATTGGGTCTTTCTTCATCTCTTTTTTTTTAAAGAAAGCCAAATTTGAGCTTCGTTGTCCATCTGAATTTTAATATTTTGGCTAAATACTTAGGGAAGCTCTACTCTGGGGTCAGTGTGGTTCTGCAAGTTCTGTGACTGCAGCGTGAGGCCTTCAGGGCTGCGACACCTCCAGAATGACTAGTTATTAAACTTGAATTTTCAGGGAAAGTTGAGTTTCACAGAGTTTCTGCTTCCTTCTGAGAGCCGTGCGCTCGTGTAGATTTATTGCTGTTTGGTAGTCATCGTTCAAGAAGTGTGTCTGGCGTTTGCATTGCGAAAGGAAAATTACGTGGTTGGGGGCAATAAGGAATTCAAGTTGAGGAGCGGCTCTGATAGCAAATGCGTTTTTCTTAACAAATTATGTGTCGGCAAATAGTGCCCCTCTCTGCCAGGATCTGTATCTCACTGCGACGTCTCAAGCGTGCTATCCTAGTTTTCCTCTCGCTGGCAGCTCCACCAGAGCTGTCACATCACAAACAACTTTTTTCTTAATATACACATCTGGCGTTGGCAGTTGGACCAACTTCATAAGAGCACATGATCATCATTCATTACAAGATTAAAAAGTACCCCATGGCATCATTGATGTTTTTTAACTTTGATCTTTTGCAGTCGTGATTCATCTCAGTTATAAAACTTCCCTTTAAAGGAACACAACCGATGACTTATTAGAACCTTCCTTCTAAGTAGCGTAAACATAAAATTATGCACATGTCTACAAAATGTCATTTACTTTGTTGCCAGCTTATCATTTGAAGACATGACATCATGCTTTAGATCGTGAATTTGTAAGGCTTGTTTACAGGGAAGGCACTCTGACCTTCTGCTGGCACGTTGACTCGAGCGGAGGAACGCTGCCTGCTTTCCAGCAGCAGCAGGAGCAGCGGCAATGCTGTGGCAGATAGCGCAGTCATTGAGAGCCTGACTCGAAGGGTGCTGAACGCTCATGGCATGCAGTGACTCCAGTTGGTGTTTTGGATGCTCAGCGCTTCGGAAGGTCAGATTCTTAGATGTGAGTGCCGTTTAGACGTATTAAACATGTGCTTGTAGAAGCTTGCTGCCTTGACTCTCTGTTATTATTTTAAAATATTTTAATAGAGACAGTGATGTCAGGTTGCTCTGTTAGGAAAACCTGCCCATTTCTATAAGAGGAAGGGCCTTCTCCTGATTTTTCCTTGGAAAAAAACCTACTGATTTTTAATTATCTGTTTCAGTCTATCGACATTACCGTTCAGGGACAACTACTGTGTTGCACAGTCTTTGTGCTGGATCGAGACAGCGCGTTGCACTTGGAGTGATGGAGTGTGGAGGAGAGGCTGTGTAAGATCTTTGGGAATCGTTGGGAAATCCAGCAGATACTTTTCTCTTCTCATATCCACAATAAAGCCTCTGCCATATGCACGTCTTAGCCAGCAGAGCTGCCTTCCAGCTGGGAGCACTGAAAGAACTTTTCTGGAGAAAGAAGTTGTCATAAGGTCATAACTGACCAGCAGATAGCAAGAAATCACTGTAAAGGAATTAAAGAAAGAAAAGAACAGAACAAAGCCCCCAAACCTTTACCTAAGCCCCCTTTAATGCCTTTGCCTTACCTCGTTACAAATACAGACTTAATGGTTTGCCCTTCCATAGTGGTACCTGTGGAACAGGAGACACGTCCTCCTATCTGGCTACTTTCGGTAGAAACCCAGTCAGGAGGGAAATCATGAGGAAGGAGGGAGCAGAAGTTTCTGTATTTTTATATTTTGTGTGGCTTCCAAAGACTGTAGTTCATCTCTCATTAAAGGTGGTCTCCAAAGCCACCGACCACAATGTTCTCTATCAGCCTGAATGGAAAAGTCATTCTGAGCTTTGAGCTGGAGCGTCTGAGCAGGAGAAAAGCTGCTCTGGTTCATTCAGCTCCCGAATGTTTCGCTGCCGCCGCAGCTTGCAAGGTGCACACGTGATGCAAGGTATGAGCAAACATCGCCCTGTTGTCTGTGCACGCCGCGGAAGCCAGCGAGAGCCGGCGGGAGGTTCTGCTCAGCCGTTGTATTAACTGTTTGGCCGACCCGGCTTAGAAAACGCAGAGAAGTGATTGAGATTTTTGAGATTCCTTGACTTAAAACCGTAGCAGTTTTTAGGAAGTTCTCCCTCTTTTCTTTCAAAGGCGGAGGGTGGAGGGATAAGTCTGAGGCTAGTGGAATGTGCTTTGGAGTACAACAGCTTTAAATCTGTCAGTATTTTTTTTTTTTTTTTAATTTTTTTTTTTCCCTTTTTTTTTTTCCTTCTTTTTTTCTCTTTTTTTTTTTTCTTTTTGTTGACTGCCTGTCAGGAGCTGGGCTGGTGGCCAAGCAGGAAATGACACATCGCCAGGCATTTGTGTTGTGCAACATTTTGTGGAACTGATGCAAGGATACATTGTCTGTTTACGCATTCCTCTGCGAACAGCCCGCATGGCAGTGATTTTATTCAGGGACACATGGCATGCTACAGCAAGGAGCGAGATCCTTAACATCTCTTTACGCAGAATTATCGCAGCAGTTAAAACACGCTGCGTGTCCCCCGTGTAGAATATTCTCTGGCTATTCTTCAAAAACCACTCTACCAGCCCCCCTCCTTCCCAAGAGTATATTGATTTGACTCTGTGGGGGTTTTTTTGCGCTGTGGTAAAGTGGGGCAGTGCAGAGAGAGGGGGAGAGTTTGCAGAACAAGAGGAAATTTTACGGGCAGGTCCTACTTCGTGCGTCTACCGCAGACTGCAAACGTAGCGTTGCAGTTTCTTCAAGTGTCTGCGCGCGTTTTGGCTCGGCGAGGAGGTTTTTAATTGAAGTCGATGCTCGATACCCTGCGATCTGACAAACGAGTCCTGGGGTTGCATCCAAACCGAAGTCAGACAATCTGTGACTGGCGCGGGCGTCTCTCAGAGCGAGGAATCTCTGCTGAGATCGGCTGGGTTGTTCCGGATTTCTCCCGGCGCGAGTGGGAGCGGAGGAGGGCAGAGTGGGCGGTCTGGCGGTTTGCAAGCTGCTCTAGATGACTTTGTGAAGCTCAGCGTTTGCGTTATGGTGCCCCTTTGTAAGGAATGAGGCAAAACGTGGTTATACAGCTGAAT